GGAGTCATTAGGCTGTTGAGGCGGGGGGTAAGGGAGGGGGTGGGAGGTGGCGGGGTATACGAGCAACAGGGGGTGGGGGACGGTCATATCTTTGAGGTAGATCAGTCACTCTGGACAGTCATGGGATGATTTTTTCCCCCTTCGTTTCTTTTTTTTTGTGTGCTTATTCCGACTGAGGTTTGGTAAAGAGGGGAAACTCCTCTGCTTCATTTGCCTTCGAACAGCGGAGTGGGAGTGCAAGAGTCCTGAATCATATCTGCTAAAGCTGCAGGGGGAGGAGACAAAATATCTAGGTCAGAGTGTTTTCCCCCTTGCATGAATCTTTGGTCTAGGAAGTGCTATCAGCTCTAATTTATTTAGGCCATACAGCAGGTAAACAAAATACAGACAATTAATGAAAAAGGATTTGAGCTTTAAAATGACTGAATCACCATCGTAAATACTGCTACAAAAGTGGGTTATATTAGATTAAATGCCAATTAGAAGCATTTGTCCCCATATACTGTATATGTGTGGCATATGTCTATTGTTAAGCTGTTCCTCTTTATTAATTAAGCTTTTTGTGCTCAGGTAAATTATGTTATGATTTTTGACACTATGACACGTTTTCAAACAGATGCACCTGTCATTTGTGAACAGATGATTTGGCCTCTTTTACAAACATTTTATTGAATTCTGTATTGTGTGTGTAGTACCATTTCCATTTCATGTTATTGTCTTTTATATTGTTTTTATGTTTTTATGCTGCCGTGTGTTTGTTATTGTGATTAAGCAACTTCAGGGTTCTTTTAAATGCATCTCCTGTACTTATACGTTATTTGTTGTACTTTGTAACTATTAGGCCTACATCGTTAGGAAGGAAGGAATATGATAAGTAAGGAATATGATAAACTACTTTCAAAATATTTCTTATAGTCTATATAAATATTAAAACTCTGCTCAAAATGAAGATAATTTTTATTCAAAGTGCACTGCAAAGCTTTGAAATATTTAAACAAGTAAAACAAGGCCAAATGTGACAGTAATTATTACGGTTACATTAAAGGAAAAACACATTCACTTAAAGTAATGGAATGAAACCATACATGGTCAACATAATAAGAGCCGGGAAGCTTTGTTCCTTCTCTTACAAAAACACAAGAGATGAGAGATCTTCAGACAGCAGCCATACTGGGCTGATCCCCCTCTGGTTGACAAATCAGGACGGACAGCTCAAGACACTTCAAAGGCAGACAACAACCAGTCTGATAATTTTATGTCTGTGTCTCACAAACAGGCCATCACGGCTAAAGGGGCAGACTGTAGGAGACGAGTGCCTGAAACAAACACAAACAAACATACACTCCAAACTCCCCCCCCATCCCACCCACCCACACACACAACAAAACAGACCCAGTGTGCACACACACATACACACACCGCTCTTTCAGAGACAAACACAAGAGAGCTCACACACGCATTTCACCTTTACTGTGTCTCTCATTACCAGATGAAACCAACCGTACATTGATTCACAAAATGGAAGGGAAGAACGCATTAGTGTATAATCACTGACTCCTGCATCGATTGGGGGGGTGAATTAAAGGGCAAAGCAATATCATCAGTTGGTATAGGCCTTTGCTACACACAAATTACAGCTTCAAGGGGAAACAAGACTACCTTAACCTTACTGTCTACCAGTGCATATAGCCTAGCCTATGATGAATGATAATAACAATAATAATACAGTGGAAGACATTTATGTCCCTAGAAAACCCACTTGCTTTGAATATACTCCCGAAAACTTCTATAACACATCTGCAGATGAACATATTCATTAAGGATCACAGTGAAAGTGTGAACACCTGGGATTCTAACTAGAGACCTCCAGGTCATTAGTCTATTTGCCATTCTGCTAGACAGTGACACACTAACCACAAAGAGCCTGAGAACAGCCAGACGGTATCATTAGCTGTGGCATGCTAAAAAGTGCTACTGAACTCAGTTTTGGGAACGCATTTAATTTTTAGTCTACACATGAATAGCATGCTAAGGCTACATTTCAGTAATTTCAGGTTAATGTAGTAGCATTTAACATCTACACATATTAACTGAGAGAGTTGCAAAGAGCTGCAAAAAAGCTGAAGACTATAATTCTACAGAGAAGAGAATATATGCATTTTCCTTGCATATAGTATTTAATATTACATGTATATGTATCTTTCTGAACACCAATGCACTGACATCAAACAAAGCAACTTTGCTGTTGTAACAGTACTATATTAGTTGCAACTTTTCTTCCATGGCTCCATTCAGAGCAAATAAAAGAACATGCTTTAATACTGCTTTAAGAACTACTGTATAATGATATTGTATGACTGAGACCAAAAGGCTTATTATAATTCAGTAAGAGTCGGTAACAGTGTAACCTGATGTGTATTATTTATTCAAAGTTAGTCTAATTTTACAACAATTTAGGAAATGATCAGCAAAACTACTCACCATAAGATATATTTATAGTATCTACTAATATAATATAATTCTATTAAGATAAGATAAGATGTACCTTTATTGATCCCCGTAGGAGAAATTCAAATTAGACACAGCAGCATAGGGGAATGTAGTGTAAAGAGTACAGAAGTGAAAAGTACAATAAGAATCACACTTTATTAAAGGTTCCATATGTACGATTAACGTAACGTAACGATGTAAAGTATTTTACATATTATTTTTATATATTCATCACTTTTTATTGCCACCCTTTTCAACGGGTTGTAACGTAACTAAAAAATTGGACCTTTCCTAACATTTTTGCTTGCCTGTGGACTGATTTTTAATCAACAATCAACCTGTATCCACCACAACACAAAGTCAAAGTCAAAGCTAAAAATACAGCAAAGCTTGTGAAATATATTGTGGTTATATCTGGCTACCATTAGCTTGCTTGCTAATGCAGACGAATTGCGAGCTAGCTATCATATCAACATACTGTTGGCTGGTAAATTGACTGGCTTGCCATTTGCAGGTTATTTAGTCAGCTGGTGTTGGGAACCCTAGAAACCATATATGGTAACTTCCT